GAAGATTTAGAATAAAAAAAGGTTTAATTTTCAACAAAAATTAATAAATTTTCTCCTTAAAATTATAATTCTCCATAAAAATTAAATGATTCCTTAAGATTAACTATAATATTAGATTAACAAATAGAACGATAATACTAAAAAAAAGCAAAATAAAAATAAATAGAATAAAACTCATAAGCTAAAATATAAAAATTGATATAAAATAATGAAGAGAACTTCAAATAAAAAAATAATAAAGAAAATTATAAACAATAAATTATTATTAATCAAACATTTTCTTCTTAAGAAGAATTTTAGTAATTAATCATATACTAATAAAAATGATCATTCAGGATCTTACTTATAAAAAAAGCTGAAGAAATTTAACAAAAAATTAATTTTCTTTTATTAAAATCTTAAAAAATTTCATCTGAATCTTCTATTGATTAAATTAATATTTCCTATGACAAAATAAACATTCCTTTTTAAAAAATAGTACCATATTATGATAATAAAGAACAATCTTTTTCAGATTAATTAGAAAAAACAATTTCTTTTTAACAAAAAGAAGAAATAAATAGTTCTTTTTCTCAATAGATTAATAGTAGTTATTTTTTAGAAGAAGAAAAAGAAAAAAAAACTGAAAAAAAAATATAGAAATTGGTAAATTTGAAAAATAACATATAGAAACTGGAAAAATTGAAAAAAAAAATATAGAAACTGGAAAAATTGAAAAATAAAATATAGAAACTGGAAAAATTGAAAAAAAAATAAACTTTGGATAATTAAATATAGAAAATTTAAAAGACTAAGAAAAAGAAGATGAAGAATTCTTAAAAAAAAATGAATAATTAAAATAATAACTATAATTTTTATTCAATAAATAAAGCTATAATTTAAACTCTATTTTAATATAATAAAAAATATAAACAAATTATTAAAAAACACCTTAAAAATTAATAAAAAAGTAAGAAAATTAGATACTTGAATAAATAAATTCCCAAGATATTCCTTAATATTAAACAGGAAAAGAAAATATCATTATAAATTAAAAAATAGAATAGAAAATAAAGCAAAAGCAAGAAAAAAAAGATTTAAAACATTAAAAAATACAAAAACAAGAATAAAAAGAAAAAATATAGGAAGAATATGAATAAATATTTGATAAAATATAATAAATGGCACAAGAATCACTTTAAGAAATATAAAAAAATGAAAAAAACGATAATAATACACAAGATTAAATAAATATTTAAATATAGAATCTTAATATACAGTTAAATATATTAAAACAAACAAAAGACATTATTTAATCTAAAAATTACTCAGAAACAGAAGATAGTAAACATAGTATATAAATAAGTTAAAGTTCTAATAAATTATAAGAATTATTTGATAAATTTGAAAAATAAAAACAAGAAATTACATTATTTAAATAATAATTAAACCAAAAAAAATCTATTTAACAATAAAAATAACCTGAGAAAATACAATTAGAGGATCTTTAATAAAAACTACTTGAAATTCAAACTTTTGTGAAGGAAAATAATCAAAAAAAAAAGAAGTTTCAAATTAATATGAAAATATCTCGAAAAATAAAATACATTTAGTAAATTGTTTAGCATAAAAGAGCTAATTTATTTAAAAAAAAGAGCCTAAAATTCATACTAAAGATTAAAAATCAACAAGCTTATATACACGCAATAATTCAAAAATATAAATAAATTTATAAAAAACTAAATTTTATAAAGAAAACTCATTTGATTATTCTATAAATAAATATAAAAAAAACTATATTTTATGAAATAAAAAAAACTTAAAATATATATGTTTTTCTATAAAAAAAATTATTAAAAAAAAAAATAATATAAATATAAATATAAAAATATATATATATATATACATATATATATATATATTTTATATATATATATATATATTCATATCTTTTATTTTTTTAATTCTTATTAGTCAAAAAAATGATCATTGATACTATTAAAGATTTATTTTATTTCAATTAATTATATTAAATATTACACTAACTTCTTAAATTCAGTCATTTTTTTTCAAAATTTATATTTTAAAAAAAATTATAATAAGACTCTTAAAATTTATAAAGATATATTGAATATTTAACTTAATTATAAATACCTATTTTTTAAAAAAATATAACTTAATTTTTTTATTTTGTTTTTACTGATCTTTTTTTTTTTATTTAATTAATAAAAATCTTAGATTCAAATTAAAAGGGATTTTTTATTTTTTACTTTTTTTTATTTCATTGATTTAATTTTTAAAAAAACACACATAAATAAAAATATATTTACAATTATTATTATAAATATTTTTAATACATATACTTTAGATTATTATTTATGACTATTTTCAAAACTTTTTATCTAATAAAAGATATATAAACTCCATTTATACTATCTCAAAAAGTTTATTTTTCTTTACAATGTAAATTTTATGAAAATTAAGAATTATAAATTCTAGTTTTATAGGAAAAAATATCCCACTTATTCTTAAATACTTATATCTGGCAAAAAGAATAATTTAACCCTTCAATTCAATATTTATTAATTAAATTTTTCATTTTATATATGTTATTTTCGAAGAAATGTTATTTTTTGTTATTATTAAATTATATATATATTACATACTGTATATAAATTTTTAGCTTATGCACAGGCTACTAACACACTTCAAATTCTTGTCCGTGATCATATGTTTAATGCTATTTTGTTTTTAAATAATTATGGATTTTTCTCTATTGACCTCATATATTTTTTTGTTGGTGCCTAGTCGTTTAGAATCTCCTCATGAATATTTAAATTAAAATACCTATAAATTAAAAGCCAGATAATTCATTATTATTTTCAGTATTAGTTAATTATTTTTATATAAAAAGACATAAAGATGGTTTTAAATTAAAATCTTAAAATTCAATTTATTATTTTTAGAAATTTTTGGTTAATTGGATTTTTATAATTTTAATTTTATGGATATCTGCATAAAGAGTAAATTTAATTTTAAGATTAATTATCATTTATTTATTACTTTTAATTATAATAAAAAAATATAAAATAATTTATTTAATTTTATATATATTTAAATTATAAGTAGTAATATATATTTTATTTATTTAAATTCTGATTCTATAGATTTAAATTAATTGATATTTTGGCTTATATATTTTATTATTTTTTTAGTTTAGTATTAAAAAAAGGAGAATAATTTTCGATATAAAAAAATTAAATATGAATTTTATATTAATAACCTAAATCATAATTTTATTAAAAGCTTTTTTAAAATATTATAAAATATATATTATTATTATTAAAGTCTAATAAAATGGTATTATAATAAAGAAATAAATATATTTTAAAAATATAAAAATTATTTATATATTATTTAAAAATATATAATAATATTTTTAAATAATATAAAAATAAATAAATATTTTTGAAAATTGAAATAATTGATTGAATAATTTTTATTGATAATATTATATAAAAATAATTATAAAAAAGATATTCGTAAGAATAAAAAATTATGATTTAATTAAATAAATGTTTAAAGTAATATTTATCTTATAATTTAATAAATATATATATATAAAAATAATAAATAATATTATATCTAAAATAAAAAATAAATAATAAATATATAAAAGTTATAAAAAATAAAGACTCTAATAAATAAAGTAAAATATTTAAAATAAAATATATTTATATAATAACTTTAATAAAGTAAATATAAATATATTTAATAAAAATGTAAAATTATAAAAATAAAAAAATATATATATATATTCATATTATATATATATATATATATATATATATATATTTTTATAAAATAAATTATTTTATATATATATTTATAATAAGATTAAATGATTTAAAAATAATTATTTACTAAACCTATACCTTAAACTTTATATAATTTACTTAAAATTAAATGCTATAAAAAAGATAAAGAAAATTTAAATAAAAAATTTTAAATAGAGAAATAGAATTATTTTAGTAAAGATTAGAAGAATCAAACCAAAATATTTAAATTGAATAAAAAATACAGCCACTTATATCCAAAGAATGGTTAAGAAATCTAAGAAAGAAATATTCTTAAACAAAGTAGAAATATAATAAATGAATTTAAAAATTTAATTTATAAAAAAAATCTATACAAAAATAAATTTTATATATTAATATTTTATTTTATTTTTTTCAATTTTTAAATATATCTTAATATGGTTATTTAGGTTTTTACTTTTATTATTTATCATTTTCAATAATATTATCTTCTTTATTCTACTAAAAATTATTTTAATTTTCTTTTAATTCTGAACTTACTAATTTCTTTACTCCAAAAACTAACCCCTTTTTAAATATTTTTTTTACATCTTCTATATTTTTATATAATATAATAATTTACGTATAATAAAGGAAGTTCTTTTGTATTTTTATCTTCTATTATTTTCAATTTTTTCGATATAAAATTTCTATCAAAAGGTTATTATTATGGTTATCCTGTTTCTGGAATAAATACTTATAATGTATGTTAACAATTGTTAAAAATTAAATATTCTCTAATTAATTCATTTATTATTATATTTTCATTTGATAATTGGGGTTTATCAACTTGCTAATCATTAAGACTGTTGAAAATTTCAGCTCTTATTTTAGCTCTTATCTAAGATAAAACTCCCCTTTCTTCTAAAGTTTCTTTTAAAACATCTTTTAATTCGTTTACTGATGCCATTTTATTTATATATTATATAAAATTATTTTGTTAATTTATATTTAAAAAAAAAAAATTAATTACAAAATTTTAAATTTATTTTGAAAAAAGTATAAATATAATACTTTCTTTAAAAAAAAAAAATCTAATAAGTTATAAATAATAATAAAAATAAATTTTATTTAATTTGAAACGAAAAAGAAACTCATTTTTAATCATCTTCTTTTAAAATATCAAAATAAGGATGATTTAAAGCTTCACTAGCAGTAATTCTATCAGCCTAAAATATAAATTTAAATAAATAAATAGAAAAATGTAATAAAATACAGGATTAATTGTAAATATTTTTTTTAAAAGATCAATAGATTAATCATTAATATAGCTTCTTCTATAATTTTTTAATTTTTCAAAAGGGAAATATTCTTTTTTTGCTCTATTAATTTAATTTAATTATAAAAAAAATAAAAAAACTATTTTTAACTCTTCAAATAAAAAATCATAAACTTTTTAATCAATATTAATATTCATTAATGCTGACAACTTTAAATATTCTTTAAATCCGAAAAAAGATATTTGATTAGTTAGAACTTAATAATTATCATTACTTACTGATTAAGATATAGGATTTTTACCAATTAACTATTTGATATAAAAAATAATTTATTTAAATAAATATAAAAAAAACCATTTTCAAAATACATATTCCAGCAGACCAAACATCAATAGATGGAGTAATATGCATATTATAAGAATTTGAAAGTATAATTTCAGGAGCGCGATAAGGTGGAGTTCCTCCCTTATAATTTTTTTTTATAATTAATATATATAATTATTTTATCTTAATTATAAAAAATTATTTATTTATTTATTTATTTATTTATTTTTATAATACCTAATTATTTTTTATTTCTTCTGGTATATATGGATAAGATTGACCCCAATCTAAAATTTTAATGTCATCATTTTATCTATCTACCATTATATTATCAAATTTTATATCTCTATGTATTATATTTTTTTATGGGCATTAGATAATACTTCTAAAAGTAGATGCGAATAATAAATTACTTCTTCTTCACTTAATTACTTTACTTCTTAGTTTAATATTTTTCCTTGAGCTAATTCTAAACACTATTTTTTTTAATTAAAATTATTATATATATTTTTTTTACTAGCATTGGTATTTATTATTTTGGATCTTTTATATAATCAACAAAATGTGGTATATTTTTTACTTTTTTTAACCTTTTCAAAATTTCAACTTCTCTTATTATGTTTCTCCATCTAATATCTGGTTTCAATACTTTTATTGCGAGATTTTTTTTAGTGCTTTTTTAAAGTCCTTAATATACTTCTGCAAATCCTCCTCTCCCTAAAAACTTTTTGTAATTAATTTCATAATCATCAAAATTTCTTTTATTTTAAAAATATTTAAAATAATAAAAATAAATTTATAGATTTAAAAAGACCCGAATTTCTTTGATATATTTTTATCATTAAAATAGAACAAATCCTTAAAGTTAGTATCTTTTAATAATATTTAATTTAAGGTTGTTAATTTAGAGTAACACTTCTGTCCTATTAAATATTCATATGAATAAGGTTTACTTATGCAATATACTTTAATATAAAAAAGAAAATGTATAAAAAATACTATCATAAATTAATTTATTTAAACAATAAAAATAAAAAAGATATTAAATATAATATTTTTTTGAATTATATTGAAAATATAAATTTTATTTAATAATAAAATAATTATAAAAATCCTTTAGTTTAACAAAAAAAATATAAGTTATTAATGTAAAATAGTTTTTGCTCTATTTAATTATGTTTAATAGTTTTTGCTTTTAAAATAGTATATAAAAATAAAGTATTCATAAAAAATAAAATACTTGAATTCGAATATTCTTAATAATAAAAAATTTTAATTTATTTAAAAAATTATTATTATTATTTGATTTTTCAAAAATAAATAAAATTTTATTAATTTAGTAATATAATTAAGTAAATATATTATTTATTTTTTTATAAAATAAAATATACATTGAATTTTAGTAAAAAAAGTATAAAATATATACTTTATCAATTAACTTATAAAATAAATAAATCACTTTTTATATTTTCATATATTTTATAATAAAACTATATTAAATATATTATTTTTTTGATAAGTAAATAAAATAAACATAATTTTTATACTTTTTATTTAATCAAAATTTATAATAAATATATTTTTATAAAAGTACTTTATAAAAGCTCATTACTTTTATTTAAAAATTAATAAAAATTAAATAAAAAAAGATAAAATTAATATTAATTAATATTATATATTCCAATTACAAAATATATTTATTAGATAAATAAAAAAAGATACAATATAAATGTTATTATAATACTAATATAATATTTAGAATTAAAAATTATTAAATAAAATTTACTATTTTATTAATAAATTTTACTTTATATTCAATGCAAAAAAATAATGGTAATAAATAAACATTTAATAATATTTATTAATGTTTAAAAGTAATTATTCCAAAATATTAAATTAAATAATTATAATAATATTATATAATAGAATTGATTATATTATTGAATATAAATGTTGCTTTTATTTAATTAAGTTAAGCAGATGTTTTAAAATGCAGTTTACACTCATAATAATTTAATATATAATTATAATATAGAAATTCCTATCTTTTAGTATATGGATTGTTATAGAGATTTCGATTTTTTATCCTATATATATAATTAGTGTAATAAAGTATAATTATTTTAAAAATATTATATTTTTTAATATTCATTTAATTTTTTGTTTTATTTTTGTATTAATTTGTTCTTTATTTTTATTATTTTTTAGAAGTAAAATATTTTATCTTTTAATATAGCTATTTTAATAAAGTTATAAATTAATATTTTTAAATATATTTATTCATCTGCTTTTACATTAGATTATTATTTTTACTAAAAAATATTAAGTCCATAAATTATTTAAGGACTAATTAAATACTTGGTATAAATATTTTTTATTTATTAATAATTTTGTTTTTTTAAAATAAAGTTATTAATTATTTAACTAAATTAATTATATTATTTTGTTTATTTATTTAAATTTTCTAATTTTGTTATATGTTAAAATTTAATTTATTTTTACTATTAATTAAAATACAAATCATATATTTAAAAATATATTCATTACATCTATTTTATATAGATTTTTGCTATTAGAAAAATTAATTATTTTCTAAAAAGGGATATATTTTAAAAAAAAAAATTCTAATATAGTTTAATAGTTTATACTTTTAACTGTTTTAAAAATATTTTATTATAATGTATTAAAAATCATTAAATATTATATTTTAATTAATATTTTTTCAAATTTTTTATACAAAAATTAAATTATGTAGTTTTAATTTAAATAAATAAAATAATAATAAATTTATTAATTAAAAAAAAAAAAATGAATCAAAAATAACTAGAAAATGAATTTAAAAATATGAATGAAAACATTGACTAAATTTTAGATTTTAATGAGTTTTAGGCTATATTTGATAAAAAAGTAAAGTAAATTAATTATAAATACTTTTTTTATTTTTAAAAATAAAAAAGATTAAAGGTATTTTCGATAATAATATAACACATTAATTATATTAATAATTATAACAAAAATCATTAATTAATAATGAAATAAAAATGAATTTAAAAAATATGTCATAAATAATATGTGAAGCAGATAATATATTAAATTAGAAAATAACAGATATATAGAATGTTTTAAAAGACTTTTATAATCAAAGAAATGAAGCGGCTATATAATTCAAATAAGCTCAAGAAAATGAAAAATAAAACTAATACGGAATCAGTTTAGATTCAAATTTATCAATTTCTTTAAAAGATTTTTAAATTTAAGACACTAATATAAAAAAAATAAACACATATTTTGTTTTTATTATCGGAAACTAATAAAAATAAATATATAAAAGTAATAAAGATGAAAACTTTAATTTGTAAATCAAACATAAATAATATAATAAATAATAAATAATAATAAAAAATAGGAAAGTAATAAGTGGAGATGAACATCTTTAAATAAAACTAATATCTTCAAATAGCTTATACATAGATAATATTATAGGACAAGTTAATATTCCAATGAGTTTTCTATAAGATTAATATAAAAGAGAGTTATGGTATGATTTATAAGGTTAAAATAGGCAATATTCAGGTAAAGTATTACTTACATTATAATGGATTCATTCAAAAGTAAATATAATATAGAATATTTTTTTTTTTGTTTGAAAAAAAATAAAAAGGAAAAATATTTAAGTGATGTAATTTCGAAATGGAACGATCACATTAATTTACAAGAAGAAGATTTAAGAGATTTTTTATATGATAAATAATGTTTAAATATACTTTAAGAAAAAAATTAGTAAGAAAGAGTAAATTCTTAAACTAGAAATCAACAAATTTATGAAAAAATAGATTTAAGAAGAATAAACGACTTAAAAGGTACTATTTAAATGGAAAATTATACTTATAATATTTTATATTATTTATTTATATTTTTCTTTATTTTATGTGTATTGATTTTGGTGTATAGACCTTTGTTTTATGATGTAAAAAAGTTATTTGTATATTTTTTATTAAAAAATAAATTAAAAAGTGGGTTTTTATTTTGTTGGCTTTAATATTTTACGAACTTCATATTTTTGATCAATAAAAAACTGTTTTCCTTATAGCCTGCATAGGATTTTCTATTATAATTGATATTTTGTGGTTTATTTTTTTTACAAAAGGATGGTGGGATTAGAATTAAACTACAGGAATTTTTATTGATATTAATTTTAAAATATTCTCATTATTTTTAAGTTATATTTTGTTTATATTAAAATTTGTTATTTTGTTCGTTTTGGTGAAATTAAGATTAGAAATCTAAATTAAAGTTCAAGAAGTTAATTATAATCAACAATGTACTTTTTATCTATTTAAAAAATATAATTTTTTATTTTTTATAAAGTAATGGTTAACCAAAATAACATAACAAACCTTATTTGGACTTAATAATAATCTTAATAATTATATTAATGATTAAGTAAAAGAAAAAATTATAAATAGTTTTTGGTAAAAATTAACAAGAAAATCCATTTTATGTGTATAATTAAAATAATAATAATAATTTATAATTTTTATAAACTATATAATTTCCAAAAAAATAATTATAATTAATAAAAGGGCAATTATAAATATTTTCTTACTTTTTTTTTTTTTTACTTACTTATTGAGTTTTTTTTTAAATATTATAAGAAAAATAATAATCTATAAATCAAAATATTTCAATCTTTTAAAACTAAATAAGAGTTGTCATAAGGCAAAATAAAATAGTAATTTTATTTAAATATAAAATATAATAAAATGAAAATATAAGATAATATCAAAAAAGAATGTATTTTATAATTTATATTTTTAAAAGAAATAAATAATGACTTTTAGATTTATAAAAATATGGAATTTTTTATAAAAATTAATTTTTAAAATTTATAAATGCATATTAATCTACTAAAAAATGAATATATATATTAAAAAATCTCATTTTAATAAATAAAAATACATTTTAATGGAAATGAAATAATAGAAAATTAAAAAAAATATTTTATGTCAAAAAGTAATTATTTTTTAAATAAAATATAGGCAATATATTCAACAAATTTATAAAAATATAGGAAAAATGTTTTAATATTACTAATATAATAATAGTAATAATAAATATATTAAATACTTTAAAATATGTTTTTATTATAAAATAATAATAAAGATAAAGAAATAATATAAAAAATTATTATTAAAATAGTCTATTATCAATAAAATAAAAACAATTTGCATTAACCATAAAATCCACATATTAAAAAGATATAAATTTTTCTATGAAAAAATACTTGAAATTCATGAATGAAAAAATAAAAAGATAGAAGAGGCTCGCATTTATTTCAAAATTTTATATTTTAGTGCCATTAAAAAAACTATAGTGTAATATTAAGATATTCATAAAAAAAAAATATAATAAAGATTAAAATTGTAATATTTTGAACGATTATATTTGCTTTTATTGTAAGTTAAATAGCCATATTTATAAAAAAACAATTTTTATTTATTCTAAAAATTAATTAAATATAGTAAAATAATATGTTAATAAATATTATAAATATATATATATATATATTTATATATATATATATATATATATATATATATATATATATATATATATATATATATATATAAACATAAACATAAACATAAACATAAACATAAACATAAACATAAACATAAAAATAAACATAAACATAAACATAAACATAAACATAAACATAAACATAAACATAAATATAAACATAAACATAAACATAAAC